AAAAACATATATACAGAAATAGCAAACACAACGTAATAAGCTGGAGTTTATTTCTCTACTATAGAATTTGTCCCCCTGAATTCTCACACCTCAGACAAATTAATACCACAATGATTTGGTAACATGTTTTAAAGTCAAGGAAATGTTATATTTTAAAGAGGAACATTGGGGTTTGAAGAGGAAGAATAGAAACACAAAATTGATTGAGTTCAATTTCCTTTGCTTCTTAATTTTATGCCTCTGAACTATGGGTTTCAACACAATTTCCCATTAGCTGACTCATTAGTGACCCTGTATTCGGAATGTGAAGACCCAATTGTCCTTATTACCACCCTTTCCTCAATAACCTCTTGATTCCTTGCTTGATCTCCTGAGTTCGAACTCCATAAACAATGGGGTTGAGGGCTGCAGGGATAACATGATGGAGGACATTGAGCAGGACTGGCACATCTGGGGAGACGCTCTTCTTCAGTACATGAGTCAAAACAAAGACCAGAAGGATGGTGCTGAAAAAGAGGATGAGGATGAAGTGGGAACCGCATGTGCTTAAGGCCTTGGCCATAGCACCCTCTGCCTTGAGTCTCAACACAGCTCGTAGAATTAGGGTGTAGGAGAGAAAGATGAGGATAAGGTCAGATCCTAACAGAGTCCAGCCTCCCACAAACTGGTAAAGGCGATTGATGGTCACATCATCACAGGAGAGCCTGGAGACAGACATATTGGCACAAATACAGTTCTCAATGACATTTCTCTCACAGTAATAGAGCCGTGCTGAGAGAAAAGGGATAGGCACTGTAAGAAAGACACTCCTGGCTAAAGTAAAAATGGCAGCCTTGGCCACAAATTGGTCAGTGATGATGGATGGGTACCTCAGTGGTTGGCAGATGGCTATATAACGGTCGTAGGCCATAATCATGAATGTGCAGGACTCCATGGCAAGGAAGCAATTCATAATGAACATCTGAAGGAAACAGGCATAGAAACTGATGGTCTTGAGATCAAACCAGAAGATGGCCAGGACCTTGGGGATGACTGTGAGACAGAGCACCATGTCCAGCAGTGAGAGGAGGCTGAGGAGGTAGTACATGGGCTGGTGCAGAGAGACCTCCAGCCAGATGGTGAGCAGGAGGGTGGCGTTGGCCCCCATGGCCAGGAGGCAGAGGACACTGAGGGGCAGGGACAGCCAAAACTGCCAGCTGGGTGACTTGACAAAGCAATTTAGGAGGAAGTCTGAAATCTCAATGAAGGTGGTGCCATTTTGGTGTGTTGTCATATTTTGTCATATATTTCTACAGCTTTCTCTTAATGATCTGCAAAATTAGGTACAAATTAGCTGCTGACTCAAGATACCTGAAAACAGAGCTATTTTCTTTACCTAAAGTAAACTTCTAGATGCTAGCAGGTTATGCAGAGCCACAGGAATGTCCGTTCATCCTTGTGCCATGCTGCTGGGCATTCCTTCCACAGTCCAGCATGCAAAGGACTGGGGCAATATGATTTTTTTATGTATATTTGACTTGTTAAAGATTTATTTTTAAAAAGTTATGCATTTGTAGACACTAAAAAGGAGAAAATTAGAGCATTACTTTTTTGTGATGTGTCTCTAAAATTGCATTTGTAAGTTTCTTCCTCTTTTTTCATGACCACATAGACCACCATGGCTACAGTGTAGCTATAACAATATAGGCAAATAATTAGCATAACCTGGCACAAAATAGAGACTCATAAATATCCCCAATTCTCCACATAATTTCTATTTTGACCTTTCAACTGCATTTATTTTTGCTTTAATTAGAGATTTTTAAATTGTCCATTGAAGTTACTTTGCATTGTAAAATTTCTTTGATAAGCATTGATTTTGCCAAATAATTGCATTCTTTTTGTGTGTGTGTGCTTCTTAGATCCTCCTATTTGTAGGAGTCTTAACTTCTGGAAGAAACATCTTTAAAAAGAGAATGAGCAATTCCACATAGCTTTGTGGGAGTGATACCTAACGTTAAGCAAGATAAATATTGAATCTTCTGATTGATTTGTGAAGATGATGAAGTCCATCTCTAAGGTCATTCATCTCCTTTCTGTTTCTCTTTCCATTTCAATATAAAGACCCAGCAACCACACGCCTCCTTCTGGATACTTCAATACTGCACCGTTCCCCTATCATTTCACATTTCCCCCGTCATCTACAAAGTCCTGGGGTCACAAAACTAAATAGATAAATGTCCTATATCTTAAGTAGGTAGAGCTGAGACCATCCTGGGGACAGTGGATGATAACAAAAGGCAGGAGGAATGACAGGGTCTTGCCCAAACTATCATGTGGCAGAGGGAAGGCTGACTAGCTCCACCACAGGGAGTAGACTGGAGACAAAGATGTGAGTAAACTGATGTGGTGCCCTCATTGACAATAAAGAAAGAATTCTAAGTTTCTTCTCCCTCTGTATAGTGCAAATCTGAGGAAAGGCATTGCTTAGCAAAAGATAAGGTCGGGTCTTTCTGTATTCATTCAGATCTTTCAATTGCTTGATCTAAATCAGTCTACACAGAGGTTGCTGCTAACATGTTACTTAGTTTTAGAAACTTCATCAGGAATTTAAGATCTGCCCTCTTTATTACTCATTAGGCTCACATAAATAAGATAAAAACTACATATTAGTTTTAGAATGCTTACTACATGCTGATACTGTGCTCAAATACTCTAAAACTCTATTCCCTTAATCATTTAAAATTCTATGCTTTAGTATCTCCAAGACACAATTAGAGGAACTGATAACTCAAAATCTCAATATCCATACTCTATTACATTAATCCTACCTAGCGTAGTAGCGGGGGATGAGGAGGGTAGTGAGTTGTTGTGATTTTTAGAATTCCTCTGGACTAAATAAATAATTATATAATAATGAATTTTCTTAATCAATCTTAAAAAATAACACACACACAATTATCCCATGATACAATTAATAGTTTTGAAAATATAATCTGATAAGGAAAAATCATTTTGGAGTGGGAGGTAGCAAGGAAATTTTAATAAAACTGAACCCAGAATTTAGCAATACTTTCATATTATTAAAAATATACTTTCCGGTCATAATTTTCTATTTCCCAAATGCAGTTCCAGTCCTGTTTGGTCAGCTTTTCTCAGGTTTTCCTAGCAGGGACCCTGTGAGTAACCAGAACTTGCTCTCAGAGAAGGAAGGAGGGGATTGCCCTCCCCCTCACCTCTTCATTCCTTGTTTATCTTGCCTAACAGTTCTGTACTTAATCTTAGTGGAGTGACACACAAATAGTGAGACAGTGGAAGGATGTCATCAAGATTAAAAAAAAAAAAACAGAAAAATAGCATCTAGTCTTCAGTTGGTGAGTAAAGGGTCTTTCCATGTCCTAGGCACAGTTAATTCTGCTTTTCCCACATTTCTCTTTGAAAACATTCACCTATTAATTCTGAATACAAACTAATCACACCTGCTAAGCCCAGACATATTATTGTAACTCAACTGTCATTGGCTTTGATTGTACTACAGCATATACAACATCAGCCTGGCAAATTCTGTATGGTTTCACTCATATGTGGTACATAAAGAAAAAAAAATGATAAGACTGTATAAAAAAATACAAACTACTAGACTATAAAAAAAGATTGGGAGGGTCCAGAGGATGAGTAAATTAGGTAAAGGGGGTCAACTGTATAGTGATGGGGGTAAACTAGAATTCTGGTGGTGAGCCCAAGGTGGTATATCCAGGTATTGATTTAAACATGTGTACACCTGAAGAATGCATAACCTCCTAAGTCAATATTACTTTAATAAAAAAATTCTAAATATTCCTTCTCAACACCACATATATCATTCAGATGATCTTTGCTTAGCTCATCCTCTAACCCTACTCTGCAAAATTTTTAATGTTTAACTCTTCCAAGTCTCAATTCCCAATCTCACTAGTCCAAGAAGAGTTTCTACTCCAGGAATTTCAAAGTGCTTCCAGATAGAATGAAGGGTTTCCTGAATGGAAGCAGGGAAATCTGGGAATGACCTTTGGAAGGTAGAGCCTGTTAGAACAACTGGTAATTTAGACAGGAGTACTCATGAGGACATCTAGATGAAGAAGAATGGTTTTGGCCTTTTGAAGAGCATTTGGAATAGTTATTTCAGCACTAGAATAAAATTTCTGAGGATGACAAAAGATCATTTTATCCCACTCGCTGACTCTTTTCTATTTTCTCTGCATGCTCTTCAATCCCTAATTCATTCAGCAAGCAATGAGCAATTTACTCAGCCCTAAAAGTAAAGAAGTATTTGCTTATTTCTCTCTTTTGTCTCAATCTTGGTTCACAATCAGTGTCAGCCTGGCAGTGTTATGGCTAAGGACCTAGAGCTAATGACTGCTGGCTCCAGGCAAGGACAGGATGAAGGAACGAGGAGAGTAGGTCAGATACTAGAGAAATCCTGCAGCTCAAGCTTTTCCCAAGGCACAGGGCACATCCACAGGCTAGTGCAATGGCAATTCTGTTTCCACACAAGTTAGGGCTGGTCAGAATTACCTAACTTCATAAAACTCGAACAGACCTGGAAGACAGCTCTCTGAGGGGGTAGTTTAAGACATTATTGAATGTACCAAGCAACAGAGCTTTTGAGCACAATTTCTGCCTTGGGCAGTGGCATCTTTCAGAAATTCTTTAGATTGCCTGAAATTCAAAGAACTATTTGCTGGTACCGACTGATCCCCAAATGTGCTTTCTAGTCACATTTCTAGAATACATTTCATTCCTAGCCCAAGATTCAAGCAGTTATAGATTGTTTGTCCTGAAGTCTAAATTTCCAGTCATAGTTGAAAATCCCAAATTTTCTTAACTGGGGTTCAGGTGAAGCACTTACCAACTCTTCAGCACCCATTAATCTCCTATAGACAAACTCCAGTGTCTCTGCATCTTTGTCATCACCAAGTAAAACACCAACAAGACAGAGCAAAGGGAGGGCATAGGGAGAAACTTCAGAGCATGGACTCACACGGGACTCCTAACCTGACACAGGATGAGGTCTCCACTAACTCATCTCAAACTGCCTCAGGCTTCTGACTCAGAAATGTAATTGAACCGAGCTCTCTCCTGTCTTGGCTAATCTTGGTATCTCTCTCGGCACTCTCTGCCCAGATGCACTTACAAGGGGTGTGACGCATGGGTCTGACTCCACTCTTCTGGTTAGTTCCTGAAGTGTCTGGGTAACTATATCTCTAGAGCCTAAGGGGTGCTGCCTTCTGGGAATCCCTCTATTTCTGCCTCCACAGGTCCAAAAGGCCAACCTGGGACAGAGAGGAGCAGATGGGAGGTGTAAATGATAATTCTCTTGTGAAAAAGTGGGGTTTCTGTTAATCAGCCCTAGGTTGACTTTGTGTCCTGTCCACAGGTCATCCACCTCCTGGGCACAGGGGCTTCCCCACTGCTACCCTGAGCATACTGTTGTGTGTGACTGCACAGCACCTTTCTTGAATCCCATAAGCTCACTGAGGAGTCCTCGTGGGCTTCCTGCACATAATGCTTGCACATAACAATTTTTTTTTCTCTACCAAATGCCAAGACTGGCTCTGGGCACTCAAGAGACAACAGTAAAGCAAACACAATTTTTTTCTTCATGTTGTTCAAATTTTAATGTATCAAGTAAATTATAAAGTAAAGTTTATGGTCACTGCTGGTAAATATGACACATAACAGTGAAATATAAAGATGTAAGGAAATTGCTCTTTATGAGTAAATAAATAAATCTTAAAAAAAATTAAACAAGACAAAGTTGCTTTTTTGGAACTTAAAATCTTGCTTACAGCATTGGATGAGAACCATGAACAGAGCATCAACTAGTAAGTGTATCCCTGTAAATATAAGGGTTTTTTGACGATGGGGATAATAAACTGCCCCTGTTGAAAATAATTAGGAAACAAAAAGTGCAGATCGTGTGCAAAGACCCAGCTTTCAGTAGTCCCAATATTTGGAAGTGATAAGCAATTTGAGTCTGTTTAGATTGGCTGAGCTTTTTTTTTTTTAAAGATTTATTTATTCATACAGAACTGGGGTACATGCCAGAGATGCGGAGGATTCACAAGGGACAGAGTGGGGTGCAGAGCAGGCAGATCGAGGAAGTACACTGCTGAGGGGAGCAGCAGGTGGGTCAGGAGAGGTCTGCTGGGCCATGTGGATCTCCTCGGGGCAGGCGGGGATCGAACTCATGTGGAAGTGGCTTAAGCTTCTTAATGCTGTGCTTTAACCCGCTGCGCCACCAGGAAGCGCTCG